ATTTTTGTTTTTCCTATTAAAGTTATAATGGTTATAGATACTTTATTATTTTATATATTACAGAAATATTACCAATGAATTCAATAATCCAATTTATCCAAAATTGTTTATTGAGAATAATATTATTTGTTTGTGGAATTTATTCTATTCAAATTAAGTTTGTTCTTTTCTTTTTTATTCTTTTTTAAAATACCTAAAAAAAATCTTTATTAAATTAAATTAGAGATAAATCAACAAATAAACATGTAATTGTTAGTAATCATCAATCATTTCTTGATATTGTTATTTATCGTTATTTACTTAATGCAACATTTGTTTATCCAACTGAACAAAACAATGAGTCACAAGATGTTTATGAATTAAAATTATTCCAAGCTATGAAACGTAGTATTTTTAATACACCATTAACCTTATTCAAAAAAACAAAACTAGAACTGATTAAATCAAATTATATTATTTATTTTATTGAAGGAACAACAGAAAATGGAACTATTATTTTAAAACCTCAATTATTACCAATTCAAAATATAAAACCATTGACACTGTCTGGATTGAAATATATTTCTTCTTTTAATACTTTTTATAGTCAAGCAACACCATTCATTAAGTATATTTTTGGAATTCTTTCTCAAGTTTGTATTTCTATTATTATTTGAATTCAGTAAATATCATTATTCATTCTTATAGATTCATTGTAAAGTTAATTTAACTCTAGAAACTTGTACTGAAATAAATGAAGAGGTAATTAGTCATTTCTTTAGAAATAACTTAAAAGTTACAATTTCTTCATTTAATTCATATGACAAATCAGAGTTTGTAAGACTTGCATCAAAGTAATTCTTATTAAATTTATTGATCTTTTTATTTGTTTAGTATTTACTTTTTTAATTTTATTATTATATCATATTTCATTGGTTGTATGGTAGTTCTTCTATTTAGTATTGGTATTATTTCATTTTTGTTTGTTTTATTTATTATTTCTTGAATTTTTTTTTGTTTTTATTTTATTTTTTGTTTCTTATTTATTGTTTGTTATTATTTTGTGGTTGAATGTTGATTATGTTTTGGTTTGTTTTCTTATTCTGTGATGTTGTGTTTATTTAAAAGAAGGAAAAGAACTTAACCAGACAAATAAGGGGGTTTAGTATAAAATTAATGATGTGGAATAGAGGAGAGTGTATATCAAAGTATTTATTGTCGGTCAGTGCTTTAGGGTCATTTATGGTATTAACCAATAATTGTACTTGTTAAATGTGCAAGAGTTGAGAAAGATGAACTAATCTCTTATTCACTTTTTCATCCTTTTTATTCATTCATTTTCTCATTTCTACCTGTATTTACGTTCAATACTCCTGGATTTCCATATTCTTCCACCATATTTAAATAATTGACTTCTTCTTGTTTAATTATGAAATATTGATACTTTATTTTACTTCTCTAAGAAGTAAAATAAAGAAAACAGAAATAGAAGATAAAGAATAAATAAACATCATTTAACATTTTATTTATATTTTGGAATAGTTTTTTTTGGTATTTATTTAATTTTCTACAAAAGAGGTATAACAAATAACTTCTTTATAACTAAATAATTCATTTATTAAGTACTTAAGAAAATTAAACTGCTCATAATAAAGTTATTTTTCACTTATTGTTAATAGTGGGTTGAAATTTGTTGGTGAATAATCTTGTTTAAATATTATATAGCATTAATGATGAGAGTTTTATCATTTGTCTATCAATGAAAAAAGAACTATGAAACAAATTTGTCATTAGGACAAACACAATTAGATGAACTAGTACTTATAGTATTGTAAGCATTAGTACTATACCACTTTATGTTTATATTTGAAAAATCTCTATAGTTGATGAAAAAAAGACTACAAATGCTTCAACAAATCAACACCAAATGGTTTTGGTTATGTTTTCTTAGTTGACTTATAACAGGGATTTATGTATGTGGTTGTACTGGTTTTATGAAGAGTGTTTATTTCTTTTTTTTGTGTCATAGTTTTTAGGCATGTTTTTGTATAATTTCACGTAAGAAACAAAGACTGATTTAATAAATATTATGGAATTACATATAAATGTACGACATTAATTATCCTGTAAATCTCTTTAATGGAACATTGAATTAATAAACACACTGATAAGTGTGATAGAAACAATTTACTAAGATGAATTAAAACACTACTTTCAAAAATAACCCTTTTGCAAGAAATCTATTTCATGAAATAATACAGTGAATTAAATATTATAAATGAAAGAACAATTATTTGGTAGTAACACATTAAATGTATTGAAAGTTGTTTAAAGTTTGAATAAAACATATTAATAAAATATTGAAAAGAAGTAATTGAAGAAGATGAAAGTGTTATAATATTGAATTTATTAAATTCATTAACAAGATAATACTTTACAATAGATAAAATTAAATACAGAATTTATTAAATGAAAATAACATAAATTGACATTTGCTTTCAGAAGTATTCTACTAATTTATCAAATAAAATAACAATCAGTATGGCACACTCCAAACAACATTAAATACAGATATATAAAATATATATTTTTATAAAACACTCATTAATTGTTATCACAACTCTCTATTTATGCAAATATAGTAAATGTTTTGATAGTGGGTATTCATTTTCTTGTTAATTCTTCTAATTTGTAAATCAAAAAATGAACAAAATATATCAACAAACAATATCCATTATTTATCAAATAGTTCTTAACATAGATAAACCATTATTCTTGTTTCTATCAGCACCATTACATTAAAATAGTAATAAAACACTATTTTATTATTAAAAACTTTGCATAAACAAAGAAATACTCATTCATTAATAATTAATTGAACAAATCCAAACTATAATTGGAACACATTCTTCAAATGATTCTCAAATAAAGTAAATGTGTTAAAGAATCAAGATGTCTATCAACCAAATATTTCATTTGAGAGTGATGAATTGATTTTATTATCTATGACAATTTATTAACGATACTTTTACGAAAATTTCATCATTAAATTTGCATGGAATCAAAGTTTGGTTATTCTTTAGTCAGATATAGATAATAACTTGATTCTTGTTTATTTTTATTGGTTTTAAGAATGAGAACAAAAAGGGTTTTAATAAGTGAATATCCTTTATTACAATATTATTTAAAATGATAAATAACAGTCAGGATATCTTATGTAAAAGTTATTATTCTTATTACAAAATAAACCCAACACTAATAATCCTTTTTTTCGTAATAAGGAAAAAAAAAATAAATTAAAGGGTATGATGATACTATTATCTTATACCATTATATTCAAATTAGAGCAAATCATTGTAAACTATATTCTATATTTTTATTAAGAACATTTGGTTATAAAATAATAAACAATTTGACAATTTTCTTTGATTATTAATAAGGACTTTAACCGCTTTTATGATTTTATATTCTTTGATTATGAAATATTAATAGTAATTATTATTAATTTATATTTTGTAAAATTAATCTATTATTAAGAATACTTAATCTATTTTATGATTTCATAAAAACTCATTTTATAACGTTTTTAAATGATACGGTTATGTTCAAGCGTCAGAAATTTAAACAAACCATCTACTCTAAACCATATTCTATATCATGTAGAAATAAAAATAAATAAATTCTTTTCTTTATATTCTCAAATTATATCTCAAGAAATATATACTATAAAACATTAAATTCAATATGTTACTATTTTGTTCATCTTATTAGAAATGTATAACTTTTTACCTCATTAAAAATAATGTAAAACTCATAAAAACTGTTAATAATTTATTAGTTTATTTTTTACGCTTTTAATAACGTTTAATTGTTTTTTGATAATTCTTCAATGGAATCTCATCAAGAGTGTCTAAGATAGGGTCGTTGTGTGTTGTTGAATGATATGGTTTTGTCAACTCTCTCCTTTTATTTACTCGTCGTTTATTCCTTCTTTCTTCATTAGCTGTTTGTGGGTCATCTACTTTATGAGACACCTCTGTTTCGTTAATATTCTCTTCTTCTGTTTCATCACAATCTGTTGTTGTATTAATAACGTCTATTTCAGGTTCATAAACTGGCTTAAGAGTCTTATTGAATGTTGAATATATTTTTATTACTTCTCCATATTTCACCCCTTTTCTCAATAATTCTAATTCCTTTTTGAGATATGATATAGTCATATTTTCATTTATGATGATATTTTCAATTGATTTCATTTAAGTGATTTTTGAGTTCTTGTTCTTCTTCTTATGTCAATTACATTTCCTTAAAATAGACCAGTTTGTTTCCTCGTAATTGATAATACTGTGTTTTAACTGTATGTTTAAAAAATAATAAGTCTTCTATAACTGAATTTTCTTATATAATTTGTTTTTTATATACTAAAACAATGAAATTAATGTCTCTTTTAATATAATTTAAGAACTGTTTTAAAACATTTTTTTAATATCTATCTAAAATGGTTTGAAAATCAATCATTCTTGAATAAAAATAAAGATGTTTTCATACAAAAAACAAAATTAGAATATACTTTGTTGAAATTCTTTAAAACACAACATTAACAAAAACAATTCATCAATTATATTACCTCATCTTCACTACTACCATCCTTGTGAGTACACCACGTTGAGAACCACAAAAAAATTGAGGATTCTCTAAGGAAAAGAAAACACTAGCAAAATCTTGATCAATGACAAATGCTCCAGTAGATGCTAGATGGATAAAATAAGATACATGAAGAGCTTGATCACTTAATGAATCTTCTATCCTAAGAGTTCCCTTCTTTCCAGTAAATGGAAATTTAATTGGGGATCGTTTCATTGGATTTCTTAAAGAAAAAATAAAAGTAGTTGGATCAAAATTAGACCAGATTCCACGATTAAATGGAATAATTGAATGAAAAGAACCAAATATACAATTGTTGCAATAAAAAATAAGACATAAATCTTTTGATTGAGTTATACTTTTAAATAAAGATCTACTATCAACTGCTCCAAAAGTATCATAAACAATTTCTGTTGTATGTTTTCCTACAAAAGATTCTAATTGATTTAATTCATAATCATTAATTCTTAATAATTCTGTCATAGGAGTATTAACTTCAATTTCAACTAAAGGTTCTGAAGCAATAAGATTTCTATCTTGAACATCTAATGATCCTCTTCTTGAATTAGAATTTGAATCTGTTGTTTCTCTAAACATTTTTGTCATATGATTAATTTTAATTTCTATAGATTTAATTCTTTTTTGAATTTCATCTATTTCATTTCGTTTTAATTTATCTTTAATATTTTCAATTTCACGAATAGTACGTTTCAATAATGCATCTGATTTACATACATTAATTATATAATCAACTCTTCCACTATCACAAATTAAACAATTTTGTATTAATTCATCTAATACATCAAGTTGTTTTTCTTTCATTACATCAATAACTAATTTAAATGCATCAAATTCAAGACAATTAAGACTTGTTGCTGTACTTTCAAGAGGTGCTTCTATAGATTGTTCTATAATCGGTGAAAGATCTATAATATCAAATCCAATATATCGAACCAATTTATTTCTTACTTCATCACTCAAATGATTATCTCTAATATATAATGTTAATGCATATTTATTATTTAATCCTAATAATGATAATGTTTCAGTTATTGTATCTTTTTTCATCTTTTCAAGTATTGTTAATAAACAATTCATTGCTTTAAGTATTGAACTTTGAAATCCATTTGTTTTATCAACATATGTTTCTGCTTCTTGTAAACATCTAAGGAACAATGTTGTCATTGTTGTTTATTAACTTCTACTTTGTAGTTTGATTTTTGTTTTTTTTTCAAAAATTCATATTTTTAATTATTCTTTTTTATTTATGTTATTTTCTGTTTTTCGATTTCCTCCTAAATAATAACAAGACATCGCCTAATCACTCAATAACTACTAATTCAAAAAAAAAAAGAAAATACTCAAGTATTGTTAAGATATATCTGATAGTTCAATATAGAAAAATCTTTATTTATTGAAATAGTCTAATTGTATAATCAAAAATTTAAAAGAATCTATATTAAAGAATCAAATTCATTTAATATAATAAAGAACTCTAAGGTCAAATGACAAAAAACGATAATTAAAAAAAATTTTAAGTAAAAGGGTTCGAGAGAATTTGAAAATCAAATAAGAAATGGGAAGTAATACTGGTGCACTTATTCTAGGGATTGTTGGAGGAATATTTTGTGTAATCACTATTATTCCTGGACTTATTTTATTATGGAAATTAATTGTGAAACCAAAATTATTCAAAAATTCACCTCAAAAATATCGTGGAAAAAATACATATGCTATTATTACTGGAGCTGCTGGAGGAATTGGAAAGGCATTTGCTGAAAAGTTTGCTAAAGAAGGATTTAATTTAATTATTATAGCAAGAAGAGAAGAAATATTAAAAGAAATGAAACAAGAATTTGAAGAAAAATATCAAATTAATGTTAAAGTTATTGCTAATGATCTTATTTTTATTGATAAAGAGAATCAATGGAATCAAATTGAAAAAGAATTAAAAGGAATTGATATAGGAGTATTAGTAAATAATGTTGGAATGTGTCAATATTTACCAGGTAAATTTGGAGATATTGATATAAAAGATATTAATAATATGGTTTCACTTAATATTAGAGTATTAACAATATTAACTCATATAATAATTTCAATAATGATTAAAAGAAAAGAAAAAGGATTAATAATTAATATGTCTTCAGCAACATCATTTGTTCCATTTCCAATGTTTCAAGTTTATGCTGCATCAAAAGCATTTATTAAACAATTTAATGATTCATTATATTCTGAATATAAAGAAAAAATTGATTGTATTTGTTATTGTCCTTGGTATATTAAAACTGAAATGACAAAAATAAGAGAAACATCTATTTATGTTCTAGAACCAGAAGAATTTGTTGAATATTGTTTCTTATTTTTTGGACAACAAAATCATATTGATCCATATTGGTTCCATTATTTAATGGATATTGGAGCATGGTTATATCCTACAGATATATTTGGTAGTATGATTCTTTCAATGCAAACATTTGTGAGACAACGACTATTATTAAAACTTCAACAAAAAAACAAAAAATAAAACAGAATAATTACATTCTTTATAGTTAATAAAGTTTATTGAAGAATCTAATTGAATAGTTTATAATTTTATTTAATCCTTTTTGATATTTGAATATCAACTTTAAATAAATAGTTATTATAAAAGTAATAAAATTATTGATTACTAAAGAACCCACCACAACAATTTCCAAGAATCTTATCAAAACATGGGAGTAAAGAAAATCCAAAGAAAAGGAAACAGAAAATCTCTCCTGCAGTTCCTATAAGGACAAACCATGATGCATTTCCTCGAAGAATAGGTGAAATAATTTCTACAATCAATAAACAAATAACAACAGTTAATAATGAAACAACTCTAAATGGATGGGTAATTTTTTTAATCATACCCATTGGTCCATATAAGAAAAATGGTCTATTTGTGAATAATGAATTATATCTTAACCTTTATTTTTATTCTAAATAATAGAAACAAACGATATTAAAAGACACAAAAAACCAATAAAATGAAATACCATAAATGCATAAACTCCTCCATTATCTCCTAATACAGAATATAATGCTGCAAATATAATTAAAATAACAGTTCCTATTCCTAATGAAATACTAAATCCAAGTAATCGTTGTTTTATTGATAAATGTAATCCACATCTTTCAAATGGACTTTCATTAGTAAAAACTGCTCCTTCTTCAATATCTCCTCCACTAATAAATGCAATTGCAGCTGCCATTAATCAATATTTCTTGATTATTTTTTTTTTAAGTTCTTTATTCTTTTTTTTTCTAATCTGAAAAAATTCTGAATTATATTTTTCTTTTATCAAATCAATGAATAATCATACTTAGTTATTTTGAACTAAAAGCATTGCAATTCCAAGAATAATTAAAGCTAATGATCCAACAATAATTATCTTTGTTTTTCTTATTTCTTCTTGTTTTTCCTGTTTTTCTTCTTCTTTAATTTCATTTTTAGCTGTTTTAGCAATATTTTCACATAATTGAATTGTTTGATTATATTCTTGTTTTTCTTTCTCTTCTATTGATTGTGAAAACTTTTCTTTAGATTTTGAGTTTTTATCTTTCTTTGGTTCAGGTGATACTCCCATTTGTATTTTTCTTTTCTCATATTCTTGATTAAATTTTACCCTCTCTTCAACATATTTTTGAATTTCATCTTCAATTTCTTTTTGAATATTTAAAACAACATCCATCATTATAAATAATTGTTTGTCAATTGGTTTTAACGTTTCAGTAATGTCTTCATTCTTTTTTATTTTTCTTTGCAATTCTTGGAGTGAATTTTGGTAAATTTTGTTTGTATCTTCTTGAGTTTCTTGAATATCTTTTTGTTGTTTAATAGTTAAATCCCCTAAACAACCAAGTAAATGAATAACTTCAGTAATTGTGATACAAATTTCTTGAATCTCATCAACTGAATTTTTCCCTTGATTAAATCCCTTTATAAGTGAAGTTGCTTTTTCTTTTTGGTGTAAAACCCTTAAAAATGGAGAGACTGTTGCAATAATAACTATTGAAGTACAATCTGCATTAAGATGTAATAAAGCATCAATTATACTTATAGGATTTTTTAGTAAACTTAATGAAACAATACTTTCACTAATAGAGTCTGTCTTTTCTTTTAGTTTTGATTTAATCATTTCATAATAATCATATTCATTTATCAAATCTTCTGTTTTAATGCTTAAGTCATTTGCCATTTGAATAAGTTTATTTTCATCTTCTTGGTTTATTAGAGTAAAATTAGAATTAACACAACTTTTTATTATCTTTTTGATAATAGTGTTGATATTTTCTGCAAGTGGAAAGAATGAATGTGATAAGTTTTCATAAGTCATTTTATATTCAATAGATTATTGAGATAATTGAGATAATTTTCAACAATTAATATTATTTTTATTTATCAAAAAATTAATGAAAATGAAATAAAAAAAAAATTCATTCAATTTATTTCAATTAAAATATCATTCTTAAGACATTTCTTCAACGTATTTTGCAATAATTAATTCTTGATTTTTCTTGAGTAACATTAAATTCACAGGAATTCCTAAACTTATAGTTTCTTCAGATAAATGTTCAACAATAGGACCATTAATATGCATTGTTTTATTTTGTAATATAGTTACACAATTTGCAACACGAGCAATTCTCTCAAATCCAACATTTGAATAATCACTTTCATTATTTAGACTAATAAAAATATATCCATTCATTCCACAAATAAATTTAATACCATTTTTAAATAATGTAATATGTGATTTACATCGTTTTATTAATGATGGATGAACTTGTATTAATATCCCTTCATTTAATTTACCATATCTTTCATTTCTTGTATGTAATTGAATACAACTTTGTCCATTCATACTTTGAACTTCAGCACAAATTAATTCATTAACATCAAAAAATGTTTTAATATTTAAATTATCAATCTCTGTTCTTCTTCGTTGAATCCCATCTGGAAGATTAATTGATGAAATTTGTAATAATCCATTATTCTTTCCATTAATATCTACTTTCCAAAATCCAACTCCAACTGATACTATTCTTCCTACTACAACATCTCCTACATTCCCACAATATCGAGACCTTATTGGATTTACACAAACAAGTTTATTAATTCGTTCTACTGTACCATGAACACAAGATATAAATTCATTATCTTCAATTCGAATTCCATTTCCTGGAATACATCCTTCTTCATAAAAAATTTCATCTCCTGGAGTAACATGATTGTTATCATTTATGGGAACTATTTCCATTATTATGTTTTGTTCATTTTAGTTTTTTTTCATTTATTTTGTTTTTTAAAATTTTAAAA